GTTGCTGCAAAATTCATGATTTTGTTCTTTTTTATGGCTGCATAGTATTCCATCATGCATATGTATGCTGCTAAAATTCTCAACAAGATCCTAGCAAACCAGATTCAACAACACATCTCAAAAATCATCATGACCAAGTAGGCTTCATCCCTGGGATGCAAGGCTGGTTCAACATTCATAAAACAATAAATGTAATTAAATACATCAACAGATGTCAAAACAAAAACCACATGATTATATCATTAGATGCAGAAAAAGCTTTTGATAAAATTCAGCACCCTGTCTTGATAAAAACCCTTGAACATCTAGGCATACAGGGAACATACCTCAAAGTAGTAAAAGCCATCTATGAGAAACCCACAGCCAGCATACTCCTAAACGGACAAAAATTGGAACCATTTCCCCTAAAAACTGGAACAAGACAAGGATGCCCACTCTCACCTCTCTTGTTCAAAATAGTATTGGAAGTCCTGGCTAGAGCAATCAGAGAAGAGAAGGCAATCAGGGGTATCCAAATAGGAAAAGAGGAAGTCAAATTATCTCTCTTTGCAGATGACATGATCGTGTACTTTGAAAACCCAAGAGAATCTGTCAAAAACCTTCTTATACTGATAAAGGCCTTTGGCAAAGTCTCAGGCTATAAAATAAATGTGCAAAAGACAATTGCATTTCTTTACACCAATAATAAACAAACAGATTCCTCTTATGCAAAGTAGGAGAATAATGGAATCTATCTATCTTAGTCCATTTTGTGTTGTTGTAACAGAATACCTGAATCTGGGTAATTTATAAAGAAATAAAATATGTTCTTCCTCAGTCCTGGAGGCTAGGGGAAGGAGATAGGAGGCTTGTGACTTACAGTGTGACCCTGAAATGCAAGCAAAAGTGATTCCTGCCCCAGGGTGTATGCTGTAAAGAGGCCCATTCTGGTCCTCTGCTGTGGTCTGAATGTTTGTGTACCTCCAAAAATTCATGTTGAAATCATAAATCCTAGTATGATGGGATTAGGGGTTATTAGGAGGTGATCAGGTCATGAGGACAAAGCCCTCATGAATGGGATTAGTGCTCTAATGAAAGAAATCCCAGAGAGTTAGCTAATCCTTCTGCCATTTGAGGACACAGTGAAAAGACAGCCATCTGTGAACCAGAAAGCAGGCTCTCACTGGACACTGGATCTGCTGGTGCCTTGATCTTGGACTTTCCAACTTCCAGACTATGAGAAATACATTTCTGTTGTTTGCAAACTGCCCAGTTTATAGTATTTTTTATAGCAGCCTGAATAGACTAAGACATCCTTTTCTGGTTATACCCTGCTTGTGGGATAAAGCCATAACCTCCCACAATGCCAAGGAACAGGCCCGCGAGTCTGGTGGGAGAGTAGTCCAAACAGTGGGAACAGCAGGTACCAGGAGGAAGGATTAGCATGTAGAAGGGCTAGCATGTGGAAGAGATAGTAGGGAGGCCAGTGCGGCCACCCACATCTAGACCACACCCTTGGTGCCATGATCATAGAATTATCTGCCCAAACTGCTCCCAGCCTGTTTCCAAGATATCACAGGTTTCATTCTGAATCTGTCATTCTGAGGGTAGACTGTGCCATGTATGTGTGGGGCCCTTAGAGCCAAGTGGTGACTTTTTCTTGAAGCTCAGATGAATAGCTTCTGTGTAGTCTGAGGTGGGGAGAGAAGAGGCCAGAGTTCCTAAGGCAGGAAAGGGATGGGGCCTCAGGTTCTCCTACATGGTCACATTTTGTAGGGAACTCCTATGGGCTCAGGAATACCAAATTCAAACCTGGCCTTCCAGGTTTTTATGAAGGTACATTTGTCAAGATGGGAAGTTGAAACATTTTACTCCATGGTTTGTTGGTTACAACTTCACAATATTTAAACACAGCATATATGGGTCTTCATAGGAACTCTTGTTCCAGGTCCTGGCAAAAGTAGACACTGGCTTGGTGGCCAGCATTTGCTCTCAATCCTGGCAACTGTGGTTCTCTTTTGATTAGGAGATTGGCCTAATCATGGCTGTCATTTTGTACCTCATTTTGAAACGTTTCAACCTGGAATATGAAAGTGTTAAAATGAACAAATGATTGGAAAAGGGTGACCAACCTGGAATTAATTCAGATAATTATTTTAAAAATTGTTCTTCATCTTGGCACATTGTTTGCACTCAGTATATTTTAAAACATAATAATAATTCTTGATAATAATTGTAATTTTCTCATTATTCAGAGAAGGGCAGTCGCGCCCTGGAGATAGTACTGCAGCTGCCAAGAACTCTTGGGAAAATACAATGCTTTCTGATTGTTCAAGGATATTTCCACTTATAAGGCAGGCTCAGGCCCAGATGTCTTCCCTTTCACTACTGGGCCACCTTGGAAGGCATGGCCAGAATCCCTCCTTCCTGGAGTCTGCAGTTGGCTAATGATATCTCAGCCTCATCTCATCTGTCAAGTAAGAGAAAAGCATAAAACCTTGGGATGTTTGTTACTATCTTGCTGGACTTTTTACTCTGCCAAGAGGCTTGACAGCTACCTAAAAATAGTAGAGCTGAGTGTCAATGGCTAATCATATGAGGGGAAACCCACATCTCTGAAAATCAATTCTGAGCCTGATGTAGGAATCACAATTGCATGGATTTCTGATTTATTCTTTCATGTTGTACTGCTCTAGTCTTAGATTCTTTATTGCAGCAGGTGGGGTTAGCTGTGGTTGTCCAGGCTGTTTCTGATGAGTGGTGGATGTGGGAGATCAAAGCTGAGATGAGTAAGATGCTAGACTACTCCCTGCCTCTCAGCTAATTGTTCCAACCTCCTCCATCCTTAAATTTTTTTTATTTTAAAACAAGTTACTTATATAACACAGAGCAGGGCTGGGATTTTTTTTCTTTCTTTTTCCCTCTGATACATATGCTGCCAGATAGTTAACTGGTCTCAGGTAGGAAGAAGCAAAGAGTCTAGAGAATTCATTAATTCAATAATTACTCTCTAAGTAATGCATAATGATAGGCTGGGGTTCTCATCAGAAAAATGGGGATAATCATATCCACTCTATAGGGTAATTGTGAAGATTAAGTGAAATTATATACATAAAGCTTTGGCACTCTTGACAATTTAAGCTGGATGATTCTTTGTTATGGGGGTTGTCCTGTGCATTGTAGGATGTTTAACAGCATCCTTGACATCTACCCACTAGATACCAGTAGCAACTCTTCTCCCCAAGTTGTGACAACCAAAAATGCTTCCAGACATTTTCAAATGTCCCTTGGGGAGGGGCTAAATTGCTCTCTCCATTAAGATTCACTGCTCTAGCATAACGTCTGGCACTAGCACCTGAAATGTGGTAACATTTATTGTTAACAGAAAAGAGAATAGGTGAAGGGGTCAAATAAGTTACAATGCAGAGTGTCTAATAAACTTGGAAATTAGGACTTTACTGGTGACCTCAGCCAAGAGTGTTGGTCAAAAGTGGATGGGAGGTGAGACAGTAGATGAGGCAAAGACTAGATGATTGTTCCTGGCTTCACTCTTTCAAGATTCACTATAGATTGCACACTTTAATGAGCCTTTACTTTTTTTGCAAAGTACTGCTTAATCTCGGTCTTTTAAAAAAATTTTAGTTTAAAGATGTGGGATACAATTCCGGGTTAGGAATACAAATGATCATTGTACAGAAAAAGTGTGGGTTTCACTTTGGTCGCCACTTCACCTAGTTTGAGATCACGTACCTTACTGATGAAGTGTGCTCCCCACCCCCGGCAGTTTCCCATTACTGCCAATCCCTTTCTTATAGTATTATGATAATAGTTCAGGGTCTGTTTATTAGTGAGAACATGTGGTACCCTGTTCTTTGTTTCTGTGATAGATCACTGAGTATTATAGACTCTAAGTTCACCGTTGCTGTGAAGTTCATAATTTTGTTCTTTATGGTTGCTATCTTGGTCTTCATAGTTTGTTCCGGCATCTCTTAGAGTGAGTATATAATCTATTTTATTTTATTTTTTATCTTTTTGAGTCGGAGTCTCACTGTCGCCCAGGCTGGAGTGCAGTGGAATGCTCACAGTCACAGGCTCGACCTGCTGGGCTTAGGTGATCTCTCTGCCTCAATCTTCCTAGTATCTGGAATCACAGACAGGCACCACCATGCCAATCTAATTATTTGTTTATTTATTGCAGAGACAAGGTCTTGCCAAGTTGCCCAGGCTGGTCTTGAACTCCTGGGCTCAGGCAATCCTCTTGCCTCTGTCTCCCAAAGTGCTGGGGTTATAGGCATGAGTCACTGCGCCTGGCCCATAACCTATATTTAAAAACAGGAGAACAGAGAGTGGTCAGGTCCCCATCAGTTATGACATATGTCCTACTTTGCTGATGTTCAGTCCCTCAGTGCTGAGTGACAGTCTGCCTGAAACATTTGTGAGGTGTCTCCTTAGCACCTGGGTAGTCATCAAGATATATAGACCCTCCCCCACCTTGGGGAGGTGAGTCTTCTCTTTCTCCCTCACTAACTTACTTAAATAAACTATATTTTCTCATCTAAAAAAAGAAGGTGGACAGGGTTTTTATTGCTTGTTCCCTTTCCTTAAGGATGTTGAGTTAAACAGAACCAAGCACAACAAAACCGCCTTGAGTCCTCAATGTGCTTCTGAAGACAGCTACTTCTGGGCTACCACTGTGTGTCAGGCACTAGTATTTTACATGTATGGTCTCATTTTCATATTTATAGCAGCCCTAAATGTGGATATTGATATACTCCTTTTATGGATTAAAAAACTGAGACAGAGAGAGGTTCCATTACTTTCTCAAGATTACACAATGTGTAAGGGGTTGATTTGAGCCAAGCTTTGATCTCAAGTCTCCTTAAATCCCAAGTTCACAAGTTATTTAATGTGTCTATGCTGGGGGTAGAAGTTGATGTTAGGAGATACTCCCAGGCAGAGATAGGTTTTCCTCAAACCAGAACAAAGCACCTCAGTAGCAAGTTTCGATGACCATGTCTTTATTCGTTTCACAGATCCTTGGCTGTTGCCATTTCTTTTTCTTTCAGTCAACATCCTGACCACCAGTGTCCAGAGCCTTTCTGGTCTGGGCTTCAGTTTAGACTTGCTATACTGCCTGACAAAATTAATGATTACAGCTAACATTTATAAGCATTACCATACCATATTTAAACCTCACAACAACCTGATGAAGGAAGTAGAAACTATTATCATACCTATTTTTGCAGATAAGGAAAGTGAGTCACAGAAAGATTAAGTATCTTGCGAGGTCACAAACCAGTAAATGATGGAGTTGATTCAACCCAAGATATGTTTGATTCCAGAGTTCATGTTCTTAACTGCCACTTTTGGGGTAAGGTAGAAAACCTGAAATGGGTACCAATTTTAAAATCTCACTTGTTCAGAGTATCTTGTGCACATCACCTGACTAAGCTTGCTGAAGTCAATGCAGGTGCACACTGCTCACAGAACCAGTGGGAGTTACATTGTCATTATTATTAGAGATAGTCTTTAGCATTTCTATGGCACTTTATTCTGGAAAATTGCTATCTAGTTTATTTTCCTAATAAAGATTCACAAGTGCATTGAAAATACACAGCATATTTATATATTTGGGCACATTTACATTGTTGATAAATGTACAAAGAAAAACCATAGCTGATTACTGAGATCCAGTATCTAAGATAATAGAGTTTTTAAAAAAATAATTAAGCCTCCCCAGTAAAGCACAGCAACCTTACTTTCCATCAAAACATCTAAAGACTGAGCATCCTACCATTCTAATTGGAGATAAAATGGGGAGCTTAGTAGATCAATCAAACAATAAGCAAATATCCAGTTGATGACAAACTTCATTGCATTAGAAATTGAATATTGAGTAGATATATTTTGTATTTACTTTAATGCAGTCATCTGTATAGAGGCTTTAATATCAGGTACTCATTGGGTTATTTTCAGTATTTTCCTTGCTCAGTATCCCTGCTCACTGCTAGCCATGCAGACCCTTGAAAATATTCAACTATAAATAAATAAGTTCCTAAGTAAAAATATTTCTCCCTTGTCTCTGCTTCTCTCTGGCTATAGGAGATCCCCATGTCATGTTAAGAATGATGACCTTCACTTTTACCTACAAACAGGCATTTTACTGACCTTTGTAGTGTCAGTAAGCAAAGGACTTCACCTGTAAAGTGAAACAGGCAGTGCAATGAGTTTAGAACCCAAGTTCCACTTTGCTATTGCTGCATTATTATTTATGCTTCCTTTTTGATGGCATTTGGTTATAAAATTATAAATTCATGAACTGAAATAAATGCCTAATTACAATGACTTCTGTTGACCCAATAAGCTACAGTAAGTAATGGAAGTCCCACAATTAAATAACAACAATACCTTCAAAATCATATACCATCATAGAAGAAAATATACACAGTCATCATCACAAGTACTACATCTCTCTGTTGGGATTAATTGGATTCCGACTTGGAAACAGCCTGACTTTAAATAGACCATTGAAAGCAGTGCCTCTCCAAACCCTCGGCTCTGGATTGCAGGGTGCTGAATTAGGGAGTTTAAAATAACAGACCCTTACAGTTAAGTTAAATCCTTAAGAGGAATACAGTCAACTTGCATACAAATCACAGAAATAATAATAGCTTTTTGTTTCCTATCTTTTAATTCTACCTTGATATACTTTCTAGAGCCCATGAGAATACAATTTTGGGGGAAAAAAGGATAAGAAAAAGGAAGAGAACAGGTTTCTACTGTTCAACCACTTAGGAAAAAAAATGAAAACAATGTTATTAGGGTTTTGGGTTTTAAAATAAGAGTAGGTATTGTGTTTTAATGCATATTTTTAGAGAACCAAAGAACACTCAGCTGATTAAATAACCTTCCAGAAAATAATACGTACAAAATTAGAAATGAAAACAAAATTACTTACCCGGAAATTTTCTTCTGATTTCTGGAGACTGTGGAGTTTATCACTTCAGCTCCTGCAGCCATTTACTGACACAGCAGACATACCTAAGCAGAGCAAACTTTGCCTTTCCCAAGACTCAGAAACTACGGAAATGAACAGAAAGAAAATCACCCATTTTTGCCTCTGAAGTGAAATTTGTCTGCTGCTCTTTCAGCTTTCCTACTAGACCTTAGTGTATGTTTATAGCTGCTTTCGAATGCATCTTTTATCTCTAGAGGATTTGGGAGGGACCCTAAAGTGAACGGCGGTTGGGTCAGCTGCTCAGAGGTTCTGTCCTTGGTGCTGAAAGAGAGATGGAGTACGCACAAGCAAAATCCGTTTCCTACCTCGCTTCTCCTCTTTTTCCTCTTAGCCTCTATCTGCTCTGGTACTGTGCTTTTTAGTACATGTGTATCCCCCCCCACACACAGTGTTCTTTTTAATACCAGTTTTTTCCTCTGTCTTTACCTTTAGGTTTTAATTTCTGTTGAATAACTCTCACCTTCCTCAGTTTAATTGCTTTTCCAGCTTTTGGTGGGTGGAGCGATGATTAGTTCAGAAGAAGGAACAGATCAACAAATTGATACCACAGTTGGTTAATGGAACTCAGTACAATTTAAAATACAATTGACAGAATAATTGAACTTGGAGGTGTGAACCTGTCTGGGAAAAGAAGGTTAGAGGAAATGTATTACAGTGGAAGCAAAACTGAGGCATGGGGTATAACCGGTGATAAAAATGAATAAGTTCAATACTGTGAGAAACGTTGGACGTTTATTTAGCAGCACTTTTTGTTTTTGGCGAACTTTACAAACACTTGCCAATTCATTCTTACTGTTTCTCTATTTTATGCAGGGTATTTTTTTAAAAATCCAGGTTCAGAACAGGGTAAATTAAGATGTAACCAAGGGCAATAGCAGGGAAAGTCAGTACTAGAACATAAACAATCTTTACTTATGGTCACCTGTTCATATTCATTTTACCATGGAATCCTAACAATTTCTGTTTCTCTTGTTAAATTTTTTTTCCTCCTTCCTTTAGACAGAGGGTAATTCTTTCACTATTTTCTCTGCCAACTGTGGATGTGCTTGGCAACTGCAGTGCAGCCTGTCATGGGGAAGCTAGTCATCATTTGACTATGATAGGGACCTCTGCTGGCTGAGAAAGAGGCAGCAGCAGCAACAAGGTCTAAATATTGCTATTAATAATAATAGCCATAATTTATTGAGCACGTACTATTGGCCAGTCATTTTAATGCATTGCCTCTTTTAATTCTTTCAACAACCCTATGAGATAGGTACTTTAAAAAAACAACAACCATCCTTAATTTATAGATAGGGAAATTAAGGCTTAAGAAGTTAACATAGCATCTGAAGGTGACACAGCTAACAAGTGGCAGAGCCAGGATTTGGATCTAGGTGTCTTAATTCTCTGAACTATTATATTATAATTCTTTCAAAGGTAGAAAATTTATATTTTCCAAGAGGCTGATAATATGTCAGAGAGATTAATAATTACAATGAAAATAGTAATGATATTAATAATATAATATTTGAGTGGTGATTTGTTTAAAAAACACTTTCTAAATCATGCTATATCTTCATGATGCCTATTTTAATAGGGGTTGTTAAGGACTGAATTGTGTCCTTCCAACATTCATATATTGAAACCCTAAACTTAGAATATGACTGTATTTGGAGATAGGATCTTCAAAGTATTGATTCAGTTAAATTGGAGTCTTCAGGGTGTGCCCTAATCCAATATGACTGATGTCCTTATAAAAAGAGAAAGACACCAGAAATGTGAGCCCAGAGCAAAGACCACATGAGGACACAGGAAGATGGCACTTGTCTGGAAGTCAAAGAGAGGGGCCTCAGGAGAAATCAAACTGCCAACCTGTTGATTTTGGACTTCTAGCCTCCAGAACTGTGCAAAAATAAATTTCTCTTGCTTAATTCACCCAACCTGTAATATTTTATTATGGCAACCATAGCAAATTAATACAGAGGCTTAGAGAGGTTAGGTTCCATATTTAAGGTTGCCCATGATTTATTGGGCATAAACGTATTACTTATATGGCATGATTCTATCAAACCTGCCCTAAAACTAGACCTCCCAGCTTGAATGTGAACTCCCAAACTCTTTTCTTGAGTCAGGGAACCAAGAGAGTATGCACTGCTAAACCTTGGCTTGACTGATATATAAAAGCCAGGAGTAACTGCAGGGTAGTATGCAAACTGAATGAAGCAGAAGCATTCTAAGGAGTTCAGGGTTTCATATTGCACATTTTCAGCATCATGGTTTCACCTTTCAGCATCCTATGCTTATTTTCTTTAACAGTTGAAGATATTGCATCTAATGATAATGGTCCCCTGATAATGCATGAATGTAGCAGAAAGGACCCTATTTCTAGATTTTCTGGGTTGAGAAATTTGGCAAAGTTCAAAGCAAGATAAAGAGGGATAACAACTCTTATTATAATTCCATGTGGGAGCAACAGACAGAAAAATGGACTGACATACCTAAAGTCACACATCGAGGCAGTCAACTCAGTCTCAACCCTCAGTTGTCTCTCTGATAGACTCCCTGACTTCCCTGGTAAATGGGAAGGGATTGGAGAAGGAATAGAAGGGGGGGGGGAGGGTGAATGAGGTGGTCCTGTCTCTCAGGACCTCACTGTAGGTAAAGATCAGCAATTGTTCCTTTTAACCTGGCACTTTCCATCCATTCTCATACCACCAACCAGTCTTAATTCTTTTTAGTAGTAGAACTCTTATTCATGATTGGCATTGAAGACTTTGAGATCTGCCTTCTAGGAAGAACTCCAGGATGCCTACAGAACAGATATGCCTGGGCAAAAATCAAGAAAAGTACAAGTCATTTTCCTTTCCTTCCTTCCAGGAACTTATCCCAATAGCCTGACTGGAACATTCTTAAGAACCAGCCAACAGTGCTTTATCAGGAAAGGCTTTATCTTTTGAACCTGAAGTGGGAGATTTAGAGCAAGAGTGAAGAGATGGTGGGCTTCTGATACATAAACATTCCTAGCAGTTTTGTGTGAAAGGAAATTGGTCTGAAGTCTGTGGTAGAAATAGTCTCTTCTGGTCTTTAAAATGCTTTTCCAGGGAATGATATAGGAAACCTTTCCTTGAGCACCAATCATTGAATATGACGTTCTCAAACCACTTTAACTCCCAACTGAGTGCCTACTCACCAGGAGAGTGTGGAGACCAAATGAAGCAGAGTGGGGAGCCAGTTTGCAGAACCCTATATGAACAGAGAGACATTTTGTTTCCCTGTCTCTTTATAACTAGCATTTCTTACAGTGAACAGGAAGATTTTATCATCATGAAGATCTTAAATTTTACAGATACTGATCTGGTTTGAAGAACACCTCCTCACTGTGCTTTTCACTGGAATCAGACCCTCAGGTTGTAAAAGTGCAAATGTGGGTTGGCAAGTGTAGTGAGTGGACCAGGCAGTATGGTAACTTCTTCCCAACCCTAGCCCTTCTTCCTCTCTGATGATGTCTTGTGATGGATGAGGACTGTCTGAGAAAGCCTTAGGTTTTATGTTTGAATTCATGCTGCTTCTGTAATACAGTTCTTGAAAGAAAAATAGCTTGACTCATTTATTATGGTCCAGTACTGAGCTCTGATCTTACTTCCTTTCTCTCAGAGAATGGCAGTAAATAACAGAAGGAGGTTTCTTGATCAGTTAAACTTGTATCCACTCAACTCTGAGGGTAGCAGAGTAATAGTAGGGAAGGAAATCAATTAATGACTTTTGTCTTCACATCTACATTTACTTTTCTATGTGTTTGAATTTTATGTCCTGTTTCTACTGCTATCTTCATTTCTCAACCTATCTTCCTCCTGTTTTTTTCCTACTTTCCATCATCTAATCTTTTAATCTTCTAACTTTGCTCCAATATCTTCTAGTCTGCTCTATATTTATTTTCTTCTTCCTCAAAATACACATAAATGGGAATGAAGATGGGCCAGAATGAGAGATTTTTATATTGTAATTAATTCGTCGTTTGTTCAGAAAGCATTTGAGGTTGATAGGTAGGGCGGGTTGTATTTTCCAAAGATGATCACAATTATATGTCCCATTCCTCATGCTTTTCTAGAACCTTAACACTGAATCCTCAAGAGGTAGAGTCTTATATCTCTCTTATTTAATCTGTTAGGCCTTTATAACTGTGTCAACTAATAGAGTGTGGCAAAAATGATGTTATGTGAACTCTGAGGTCAGGTCATTAAAAATGTCATGCATTTCCACTTTGTTTTCTGAAAACACTCACTCTTGGAATTCAATCACCATGCTGTGAGAAAGCTCATGTAGCCCATGGAGGAGCCCTGTGGAGAAGAACGAAGACCATTGTCCCACAGTCCTGGCTGAGCTCACAGCTAAAAGGCACTATGAACTAGCATCAACTAGCCCATAAAAGTGAGTCATTTTGAAAGTGGCTCCTTCAGTCTCCAGTTGAGCTGTCCCAGTTTATGCCATGTGGAACAGAGACAAGCTATCTCTGCAAAGTTTTGCCCAAATTTCAGAATCATGAGCTAAATAAATATTTGATGCTTCTTTAAACCAATCATTTTATTATGTAACGATAGATAAACCAAGACTCAATTTATCTGGAATATTTCATATCTAGTTTCAGAAACAGCACATCCTAAATTTTATTGATTCCCATCTCATTTGAGGCAACTACTATTTAATTATTTAGTTTTTTTTTTGAATGTAGATGTTGTCTATCTCACCTTTATACATTTTATAAATCTTTTTCCTCAAGGACCAGGACCAGCAGCATTAACTTCACTTTGGAAGTTGTTAGAAATGGAGAATCATGGGCCCCTTCTTAGACTTACTGAATCCAGAATTTGCATTTTAACAAGATGAACTATTATTTATTAAAGTTGCAGGAGCAATGGTATAAAGAATAAGCCTATAAAGCAGATGCATCTCTAGACACGAGACAAATAATTTACTAATTATTTTTCATTTTTCTTTTATTTTCCAATTTGTTATTGTATTAAAAAATGCATAACATGAAATCTACCATCTTAACCATTTAGAAGTGTACACACTTCAGTGGTATTAAATACATTCATAATGTTGTCAACTATCACCACTGTCCATCTTGAAAAACTAAACTTCTCTAGCCATTAAACAATAACTTCTCATTTCTTCCTCCCCCAAACTCCTATATTTTAGTACAATAAAATATAGCAATTATAAACATTAACACATCTAATAACAGTCTCTCAAAATATATGAAGCAAAATCTGGCAGAAATAAAGGGAGAAATAGACAGCTCTACATCTACCATTCTACAGTCTGTTTTTATGATTTGAACTACTCTAAGTAGC